TGATATGGGGGGTATAGAGGATCTGTACCTCCTTATATATTAATAACACTGTATTATATTATGGCTTCTTTATACAGCACGCAGTGCATGATGGGTAATTACAGCAATGGGGGGTTACTGATATGGGGGTATAGAGGATCTGTACCTCCTTATATATTATTAACACTGTATTATATTATAATGGCTTCTTTATACAGCGCGCAGTGCATGATGGGTAATTACAGCAATGGGGGGTTACTGATATGGGGGTATAGAGGATCTATTATTATTATTCCATTTGTTAGATCTTTGTTAGATCAGGTTTGATCAACAATTTTTTTCGTTAGATCTACTCTAAAATATGCGATATTAACAATCATTGTCAGGGGGGGCTAACCCGTAGCCAGCCCCCCCTCAACAAAAATTTGGAGAAAATGTTGTTGATTATGATAGCTCTACGTTAGATCAGGTTTGATCAGGCAAAATTGTTGTTTGATCTAGTCTAATTACTGAGATATTGCATATATAATTAGGGGGGGCTGGCCCCCCCTCAACTGAAATTTGGACAAAATGTTACTGATTTTGGTAGCTATTCGTTAGATCAGGTTTGATCAACTATTTTTTTCGTTAGATCTATCACGCAATAGGCGGTATTCACTACCTAACTTTGTGGGCGTGACTACAGGTTAGCCCCCCCTCAAGTGAAATTTGAATTTTTTTTTATTGATTTTGGTAGATATTCGTTAGATCAGGTTTGATCAACTGTTTTTTTCGTTAGATCTATCACGCAAGAGGCGGTAGTCACTACTTAACTTTGTGGGCGTGACTATGGGTTTGCCCCCCCTCAGGTGAAATTTGAATTTTTTTTTATTGATTTTGGTAGATATTCGTTAGATCAGGTTTAATCAACTGTTTTTTTCGATAGATCTATCACGCAAGAGGCGGTATTTACTACTTAACTTTGTGGGCGTAACTACGGGTTAGCCCCCCCTCAAGTGAAATTTGAATATTTTTTTTATTGATTTTGGTAGATATTCGTTAGATCAGGTTTGATCAACTGTTTTTTTCGTTAGATCTATCACGCAAGAGGCGGTATTCACTACTTAACTTTGTGGGCGTGACTACGGGTTAGCCCCCCCTCAAGTGAAATTTGAATTTTTTTTAATTGATTTTGGTAGATATTCGTTAGATCAGGTTTGATCAACTGTTTTTTTCGTTAGATCTATCACGCAAGAGGCGGTATTCACTACTTAACTTTGTGGGCGTGACTACGGGTTAGCCCCCCCTCAAGTGAAATTTGAATTTTTTTTTATTGATTTTGGTAGATATTCATTAGATCAGGTTTGATCAACTGTTTTTTTCGTTAGATCTATCACGCAAGAGGCGGTATTCACTACCTAACTTTGTGGGCGTGACTACGGGTTAGCCCCCTCTCAAGTGAAATTTGAATATTTTTTCATTGATTTTGGTAGATATTCATTAGATCAGGTTTGATCAACTGTTTTTTTCGTTAGATCTATCACGCAAGAGGCGGTATTCACTACTTTGTGGGCGTGACTATGGGTTTGCCCCCCCTCAAGTGAAATTTGAATTTTTTTTTTATTGATTTTGGTAGATATTCGTTAGATCAGGTTTGATCAACTGTTTTTTTCGATAGATCTATCACGCAAGAGGCGGTATTTACTACTTAACTTTGTGGGCGTGACTACGGGTTAGCCCCCCCTCAAGTGAAATTTGAATTTTTTTCCATTGATTTTGGTAGCTATTTGTTAGATTAAGTAAGATCAACTGTTTTTTTCCGTAAGATCTATCACGCAAAAGGCGGTATTCACAATCTTATTTTAATTTTGCACATAAATACCAGTAAATTTTCATATCAAGCCACAGGTGACATCATAATTTAGAAATTTGCTTGGATTTGCTAACACAATGTGTAGATCATTTTCAATATTTTTTTTTTATTCTCTACATGCACAGTATTGAGGTGATAAAGTCCAGCATATGCCCAGCCTGAACTTATTAGTGATATTTGAATACAGTTGCAAGAAAAAGTATGTGAACCCTTTGGAATGATATGGATTTCTGCACAAATTGGTCATAAAATGTGATCTGATCATCATCTAAGTCACAACAATAGACAATCAGTCTGCTTAAACTAATAACACACAAAGAATGAAATGTTGCCATGTTTTTATTGAACACACCATGTAAACATCCACAGTGCAGGTGGAAAAAGTATGTGAACCCCTAGACTAATGACATCTCCAAGAGCTAATTGGAGTGAGATGTCAGCCAACTGGAGTCCAATCAATGAGATGAGATTGGAGGTGTTGGTTACAGCTGCCCAGGTCAGGAGTAATTCTTGACCATTCCTCTTTACAGAACTGTTTCAGTTCAGCAATATTCTTGGGATGTCTGGTGTGAATCGCTTTCTTGAGGTCATGCCACAGCATCTCAATCGGGTTGAGGTCAGGACTCTGACTGGGCCACTTCAGAAGGTGTATTTTCTTCTGTTTAAGCCATTCTGTTGTTGATTTACTTCTATGCTTTGGGTCATTGTCCTGTTGCAACATCCATCTTCTGTTGAGCTTCAGCTGGTAGACAGATGGCCTTAAGTTCTCCAGCAAAATGTCTTTGGAATTTGGGAATTCATTTTTCCTTCGATGATAGCAATCCGTCCAGGCCCTGACGCAGCAAAGTAGCCCCAAACCATGATGCCCCCACCACCATACTTCACAGTTGGGAAGAGGTTTTGATGTTGGTGTGCTGTGCCTCTTTTTCGCCACATATAGTGTTGTGTGTTTCTTCCAAACAACTCAACTTTGGTTTCATCTGTCCACAGAATATTTTGCCAGTACTGCTCTTGTGCAAACTGTAAACGTGCAGCAATGTTTTGTTTGGACTGCAGTGGCTTCCTCTGTGGTATCCTCCCATGAAATCCATTCTTGTTTAGTGTTTTACGTATTGTAGATTCGCTAACAGGGATGTTAGCATTTGCCAGTGACTTTTGTAAGTCTTTAGCTGACACTCTAGGATTCTTCTTCACCTCATTGAGCAGTCTGCGCTGTGCTCTTGCAGTCATCTTTACAGGACAGCCACTCCTAGGGAGAGTAGCAGCAGTGCTGAACTTTCTCCATTTATAGACAATTTGTCTTACCGCGGACTGATGAACAGCAAGGCTTTTGGAGATACTTTTATAACCCTTTCCAGCTTAATGCAAGTCAACAGTTCTTAATCGTAGTTCTTCTGAGAGCTCTTTTGTGCGAAGCATCATTCACATCAGGCTATGCTTCTTGTGAAAAGCAAACCCAGAACTGGTGTGTGTTTTTTATAGGTCAGGGCAGCTGTAACCAACACCTCCAATCTCATCTCATTGATTGGACTCCAGTTGGCTGACTGAAAGGATAAATGCTGTTCTGGACTCAACTCCCCTCGATTCTCGCTCCTTCGATCACCACATCAATTGATGGGAGATCTTGTTTAGCAAATAAGACACACAGACACGAAAGAGTGCATAACAAGTTCTCAATGAGTATATTTTCAGGGCTAGCATTTATACACAATTTCTCATGCAAGCAGTGAAGTCTATAGTGTCCTTGTGGTTAATAGTACATACTTGTTGGACATGAAAAAGATAAGCATTTGGATGAAGACGAGACAGGAACATCCTAAGGTCAAGGAAGGTCATACATCCTGTAGAGGAAAGACCTTGGTACAAAATACATCTGCCAAAGTCAGCATAATTATTTCAAACATTATTTTAAAGCATATAAAGCAAAAAGAGTTAACCTTTTCACTTCCTTACATCCCCCTCTTTGAGCAATTAATTTGCTCATATCATTGATAAGATCTTCCCAGGTCAGAGAAACTTCCACATGGTATTTTCAGGGGTGCTAGTCACTCCTTGCGGGACTTTCATTAATTTCTTCACCTCGATTCCCATGTGGTAATTCCTAAGGCCCAGTTTTAAAGATGGGTTGATAGCCTCCAGTGGCAGAGAGGAGAATTTCCAATTGTTTCTGTTCTGCATTATGGATTAATTTCTGTATTCTCTTCCTCAATGTACAAGTAAGATGGCAGTTATATAAAATCATACCCAATACAATCAGGACTATAATAACAAGAGGATAGAAGAATGATTTCATTATCTGGGATCCAGTAGGGGACCAACCTGTAAAAGCATCGTATCAATGATGGGCTAAATCATTCTGAATTTGTGAACTCACCTTAAGGAGTTCTCCTTTTAGGATATGTGTGGCTACCTGTGTGTGTACTATAGCATCATTATGTGTAACAAGATGTTTAAACATATTTTGTTTTCCTTTCATTAAGGAGACAATAGTCTCAAGAGGTAGATGGTAATCTTTAAAAGGCAGAGAGCCTAATAGGGCATTAATATGTTTGTCTAAAGTGATTGTGTCGCTGAAATAATATTGGGTGTCATTAAGATCTAACCAGGTAACATTAGTCAAACATCCTGAAAAGGGGAGAGGTAGATTAATACTTGTATTACTAGTAATTATCTTTGTAGGGAGGTTAGTTGCCAAACAGATATGTCGTGTGCTTATTTCAGTCATGGTAAAATAATTTTCAGGATATATGTGCCATATGCACTTGTTAAGTTCATTTTGGAGTAAGCATGGTTCATAAATAGGGGACGAGTGTCAACATGCATATCCTTTGTCAGTGAGAACACAGTGTTTAAGGGAATAGGTCATATTATCTTTGGGGAAAATATAGTCCCCTGTGTATGTGGGTGCCCACCAGGTTAAATTCCTGGTAAAGAGATCATAAACTGGTACTGGTAATGTGTTAAATTGACAAGCTAATTTAACATCCTTTGATGATGTATGATATAGTGTAAAATAGCATGAGCATGAAAAATGTGAAACATTACCAGTTAACCATTCATTGCATTTAGTGGATTGGGGTTTTAGAAGTAACCATTCATTATCTGTGAGGTCAAGCATCCCTCTAATCTTCTCTAGTTTAGGAATCATTAGTGCCAGTCTTTGTTGTTGCATCCATAAATACCTGATGGCACAAGTACTCCAGTTACCAAGATCTGTAGTGAATTTCATAGTTGCAACAGTTAAATTACCTAAATAGTTATACATTGATGTATCTAAATCCAATCCTGTAACCTGTGATTTAACAACAATTGGAGCCCAGTTTGCAGTAGCATGGAAACCAGTCCCTATATGCATGCTGGCCGTGTTTAACTTATTCTTGAAGGTCTCCATGTCTATACTATTTAGTATACCCATAGTGGTTCCAGCACCTCCTAACAGTGTGTCATACCATTCCCTTTTCTGCCTTTTCTGCCTTTTGTTACATATTGTTACAACAGGAGTAGTGATTTTTAATGACACATGTACAGCTTGTAAGAAGGCAGTTGTATTAACACATGTGGACGGAATAGGTGTGTGTGTGTCGTGGTTGACTTTTGGTTCTATGATAGTGGATGAAGGACAGTAATAAGGTGTAAAAATATAAGATAGTGTATAGTTCTCAATTGCAGTGTCGTTCATAATGACTAACATTTGTCCCCTTTTCCAATTAATGATACCAGTTGTATAATCATTATTAAAAGTAATAAGGCCTGTCTGTTTACATTGATATGCAACCTTACTAATTTTCTTATAATATATATCCCAAACCTGTTTAGGTGGTTTTTTTTTTTTACCATCAGAACTTATATTAAATAAGGTGGCACAGATGCTGGTGTAATTAGCAACCTTAACTGTGCACATTTCTGTGTTATAAGATCTAACAATTTTCCGTGAACCTTCAAACAAACATAATGCATCGGTTTCATTAGCTGTGGACACATTCCATATGGGTAACTGGTACTTATAAGGGTTATTATTTATCCAGTTCATCCATATGTGTTCAGTCAATGAGTGCTTGCATATTACATGCTGATAGATAGGTGGTGGAGAAAGGTTCTTGAGGGAGCGTGTGACGAGTGCTAGATGAGGGGCTAAGGCCTAATTGGGCTGGGGGTATTGAAGAATTGTTCATCATGTCAGAGTCATTTCTCCAGAAACAAACAGGTTTCAAACTTCCCATTGACTTGTACTCATAATGGCATTCAAGGAATAATATCAGAGGGAGTATGACAACTCCAGAAAGCATAGCGCACAACATAATCTTGGTCTCAGGTTCGTATGATCCTCTCAATCTACGATATGGTGTGAAAGCCATGATGCTTCGCTAAGGGGAAATTCTTCTCTTTCCGAGTGAGGAGTGGTGTTGTCTTCCTTGGTTCCCCTCTTTGGACACAGATTCACTCGGGATGCGTGAATCCAGATGTTGTGGGAATCTGTGAGGACAGCGGTTCTGGTTACAGCAATCACAGTAGCAGGTGGTCTGAAAGGGTATCCTCCTTTCTTGGTCCTATTCAGCTGACGGATATACACCTTGTCACCAGGCTGGTATGGATGAGTAGGTTCCTGTGAAGGTAAGGGAAACTGCGAAGAAACATTGCCATATATACCATTCAGTTTTATCAACAATTCCTGTACATATTGTTCTTGTATTAGCTGTAAATCCCCAGACATTATAACAAGCGGTTCCCTGGCCCAGGGTGTGGGAAAAGGTCGTCCCATCAGAATCTCAAATGGAGATAATTTAGTCACCTTGTGAGGAGTCATTCTTATCTCAGCTAAAATAGCTGGAAGATATTTTGTCCAATTTACCCATGTTCCTGCAGTAGCTTTCATAAGCTTCTCCTTAATGGTCCTATTCATCCTTTCAACTACCCCTGAACTCTGTGGATGATAGGGTATATGAAACTTCCAGGTAACTTGCAAGAATTTAGCAAGTTCCTGGGTAACCTTACTAGCAAAAGCCGGGCCATTATCAGAGTTAATCTGCAGAGGGCAGCCATACCTGGGAATAATTTCAGTAGCAAGAATCTTCACTACCGTCCTAGCATCCTCCCTAGATGTCACAAAGGCCTCAGGCCATCTACTAAACTGATCAACTATGACCAGTAAGTATTGCTGTTTCTTACCAATTTTGGGTACATGAGTAAAATCAATCTGTAAGTGTGTAAAAGGAGCAGCTGGAGGGGGCAAATGTTCGTGCTGTGATTTGTGTGGAATATTCGGATGTGTTCTCATACATGGTTCACACAATTTAACAAAAGACTGTACATGCTGCCTGAGATTCCTAATATAAAATGAATTCATGAGGAATTGGATGGTACTTGCTATGCTCTTGTGGCCAGGACCATGGGCCTGACTGATAAAGATAAAACAGCTGGCTTCAGGTATGCCAATCTTCCCCTCTTTTGAAAAAAGATCATTCTGGTCTTTTTCTAAACCTTGTTTAATCCAAAAATCAAAGTCAGATTGCGTTGCAAAGGCTTGGAGCTGCAAAAGCAAACTGTCAGTCGGGCATGTGGGAGGTGTGAGCATAGCAGGAAACATTTCATAATAAAGAGTCTTGGCTGCAACTTCTTTTGCCACTTTGTCAGCCAAGGCATTACCTCTGGAAATGTCGTCACTACCCAGAGTGTGTGCCTTGCAGTGGATAACAGCTACTTCAGATGGGAGTAGGATAGCATCTAGGAGTGATTGGATGAGATTTGTGTGTGAAATGGCTTTTCCATCGGCTCCTACAAAGCCTCTTTGTTTCCAAATCACACCAAAATCATGCACTACCCCATGAGCATATCGTGAGTCTGTGTAAATGTTCACTCGCTGTCCTGAGAAAAGCTGACAGGCACGTGTGAGAGCAATGAGTTCTGCAGCTTGTGCAGACGGCTGGAAAATAGTGTCAGCTTCAATGATTTTATCAGGTAGCTGTACCACAGCATAGCCTGTGAGGTATGTACCATCATTTGGTCTGGAGCAAGAGCCATCCACAAAGACAGTGGTCACATCCGGGCCACTGAGTGCTGTGGAGGAGAGGTCTGCTCTGGGAGATGTGGCAATATGTATTTGTTCAATGCAATTATGAGGCTCAGATGGTATAGACACAGAGTCAGATGCAGAAGTGAGAATAGCATGCAAAACAGACATAGGACCAGAATTAACAGGACTATAAACAATAGACAGATTCTGGGTATTAAGAAGAATAATCTCATAACCACTTAAGCGCTGGGCTGTCATGTGTTGTGTGGTGAGATTTTTTATAAGCTGAGTAACCTGGTGACTGGTATGGAGTATTGTAGGATGCCCTAGTGTGATAGTAGTTGCAGTCTCAACAGCCATTGCACATGCTGCCAATGCTCTGAGACACGCCGGCATACCCTGTACCGGAGCTGGAACTACTTTGGAAAAGAATGCTATGGGACGCATACCGCCTCCGTGCTCTTGTGCACAGACCGCGGCCATGGTTTTACAGTTGTCCCGAGCATACAAATGAAATGGTTTACAATACACAAGTAGTCCTAAAGCCGGGGCTTGTACAATAGCAACTTTGAGAGCAATATACGCAGCTAGCATGTCTGGTGACCAGCAGACATTTTCAGGGCTGTCAGAACGTACAGCCTCCCTTAGGATTGAGTCATAATGGGAGCATTCAGGGATCCATTGGCGGCAGTAATTAATCATGCCGAGAAAGGTGAGCAACTCCTTCCGAGTAGTGGGTTTAGGAATCCTCTGAATGACCTCAATACGTTTTGGACTCAATTGTCTGGTGCCTGAAGCCAGAACAAAACCTAAGTAATCAACCTTTGATTTACACAATTGCATTTTGTGTTTTGCAACCTTGTGACCCACAGTTGCTAAGTGTTTGAGCAAATTGACAGTATCCACAGTGCTTGCCTCATAGCTAGGGCTACATAACAATAAGTCATCAACATATTGCAAAAGGACGGAACCATGACCGGGGGTCCATGTTTTTAGAGTATGTTGGAGTACCAGCGAATAAACGGCTGGGGAATCCACATAGCCTTGGGGTAAACGTGTCCAGGTATACTGACAGCCTTCAAAAGTAAAAGCCATAAGTAGCTGTGTCTCTTGATCAATAGGTATAGAAAAAAATGCATTACTTAAATCAATGACAGTGAAGCAAGTGGCATCATGTGGAATGGCTGTAATGAGGGATGTCACATCAGGGACAATGGGTGCAATGGGCACAATTAAACTATTCAGGGCTCTAAAATCCTGAACTAAGCGATAACCATTACCTTTAGGAACTGGATTAATAGGTGTGTTATATGGAGAAACTACTGGCTTTAGTATTCCCTGCTCTAGAAAAGATTGGATCATGGGGCGAACTCCCTCAACCTTGGCTTCTGACAGGGGGTACTGTTTAAGGTAGATAGGAGTTACAGCTGGTTTTAGTTTGGCTTTGTAAGGGGTGCAGTTGACAAATCCTACATCTAACTTAGATGAAGCCCACACAGAAGAAGGAACATCAGACAAATCAATAGTTTCAGAACACAACATAGACACATCAATACCACCAGAGGGCGTGCAAGTAATAGTAGCTCCCAGAATACCAAGAAGATCCCTTCCCAGCAAATTGACAGGACATTTAGGTATTAAACGAAAAGGGTGCACGGTAGAAGAACCATTAAGAGGACAAAAAACAGACAGTGGTGGTGTGACAAAAGTGGGGGTTGACACTCCATTAATACCCAATGAAGGTGTAGACTTTTCCCTTGTCCCCTGATAATAGGTATCACAGAGACTGGAACACGTAGCTCCAGTATCTACCAAAAATGGCAAGGATCTACCTTCTATGACCAGAATACAAAAAGGCTGATCATCATTAGTAGAGGACAAAAGTGGAAAAGTTGGAGTGTCACCTTCAAGGCAGCCCTATTGGGGCCATGGGATGTGATGGGTGTGCTGGTCAGTGGTACCTGTGAATGGCCCTAATGCAGTTTGGGTTTGCTGGAGCGGGGGGGAGGGGGGAGAGGGAAGTGCTGGCCAGTGGTGTTGGGAGTGGGCCTGGTGTTGTTCTTGCCTACCGGGCGTATTTTGATAATTGTGGGGTTGTTGGGGCTGCTGGGGTTTCCTGGGGTGTGGACACTCATTCCTCCAGTGGCCATGCTGGCCACAGTTGAAACAAGTGTTCCTGTCTATTCCTCCTTGGTTACCCCTGCCCCTATAACCCTGATTTCCCTGTCTCCATCCCCTTGCCCCTCTTTGACCACCCCTTCCACAGGCTCTATGTGCTCCATCCCATCCTCTCTCTCGGGCCTGTGTAGGTGGACAGTGTTGCAATCCCTGAGCATAATAAGCAACCTTACTTCCTGAATCTTTTCTTAAATCAAAACAACCTGCATTTTCCTTCTCAATAACCTTGGTAAGAAAATCTGAGCCACCCAAATTGGCCCAGTCTGAAATCAACTGTTTCACAAGCAAAGAATACTGTGGCAACATATTACCAAGGCATGGCTGTATTTTAAGGAGATCCATATCATCTCCAGACTTCAAACCTGCCTCATCCTTCCAACACTTGTAAAATCTCTTTACAAAAACACCAATCTCTTCCTTTGCACCTTGCTTACATGCCAAAGCAGTGGATATAGACTGCTTATTCTTCCATAATCTCAACATTTCAGCTTCCACCTCATCCCACATTTTAGCACATCCTGCTGAAGTACTAAGCTCATAAACACCATCACTGCCAGCCACTCCAACTCCAGTACCGTTATCTGTCTCACTGATAGAGGGTACATTAGACCAATTCCAACCAGAATCTGAATCATACCCTAATATTCCATTTATAAATAACTGTATGTCTATCTGTGTCATGTTCTGTCCTAAACACATTCTTTTCAGATACATTAGGCATGCAGAGGGATTAGTACGGGGGTTTGGGGCACCTTGAATAATATCCTTGAGTACTCCGGGATTAATGGGTTTCATTATTAACTGATTACCAACAGTCGTAAACGGGGCAGTAAGATCAGCACCTTCTAATTCTGGCATCTCTACATCATCATCATCTTGCTTATGTACATATGATTTTAACACCTTGCCACTTTTAAGTTTAACTCCTGTTTGTACTGTTAATTTAACTGTACCAGGAGGTGGCGGTGGGTATTCTATATCAGAATCTGGTGTAGATGATGATTCCTGTAATTGCTGTGATTGTGAATTAACAGCTGCAGCAACAGAAATATCCTCTATATCATCCTCTGAGGGGGCATTAGGTACAGCAGGATACATTGCTTTATAGGGAGGTGGGGGTTGTGGTTGGGCATGGCCTGGGGCTAACTGGGTAGGGGGCACAGTTGGTGGTGGATATAGATTATCAGGAGGGGCTTCTATAGAAAAGCAAATAGTATTACTGTCAACAGTTCCCTCTCTCTTAGCCAGGTGTTTCTTAGCTCCCTTTAAAACCTTTCCTGTTACACTACAAGGAAACCAATGAGGGGCTATCAGCAACCAATTTTCACCTCCTGCTTTCATATATTCCTTATCCCAATCTGGATCAGGACCATACCACGGCCATGACTTCCTATCTCCCAAACACAATCCTCGAATCATATTCATATGGAAATCATCATTAGCCCCAGACCTGGGAAAAGGATCAGATGACTTCATAGTCTCTGTCCATCCTGCTAAATTTGACACAAAGGGGATTGTAAGATATCCTCCTTGTGCTCCTACTCTAGTAACATAATTTAGACATGACTCCCCTGGGTGGGGTAAAGGGTAAGAAATAGACTGATTATTTCCCATATTTCTGGCTCAGGGTAGAGACACTACCTACTTACCAATAGTGTGTCTCTACTTAACAAGCAAAATAAACACAAAGCAGACACAGGGTGACCAAAGGAACGAGAAGTTTTGGTTATTCTAGATCTATGAACAGTGTTCCCTAGAACACTTATAGTATTAATAAACCGGAGACTCCTTTATAGTCTCAAAACCTGTATCTACCTGAGATACCCTGTATCTATCTTAGATACTAACCTGGGTTACCAAAACCCTATATATATTTAGACCAAATGTCTAATAAACCGGAGACCTATTTACAGTCTCAATATAACTAAAGTCCTTACACCTTTCCTTTCTACTGGATACAGACTTACTAAACCAAAGGGGGTCATAGACAATTAGCGTCAATAAGACACAAAAAGGCTACTCACCCAATGGTTTTGCTGATCCCACTTCTGACACCAAGCTGAAAGGATAAATGCTGTTCTGGACTCAACTCCCCTCGATTCTCGCTCCTTCGATCACCACATCAATTGATGGGAGATCTTGTTTAGCAAATAAGACACACAGACACGAAAGAGTGCATAACAAGTTCTCAATGAGTATATTTTCAGGGCTAGCATTTATACACAATTTCTCATGCAAGCAGTGAAGTCTATAGTGTCCTTGTGGTTAATAGTACATACTTGTTGGACATGAAAAAGATAAGCATTTGGATGAAGACGAGACAGGAACATCCTAAGGTCAAGGAAGGTCATACATCCTGTAGAGGAAAGACCTTGGTACAAAATACATCTGCCAAAGTCAGCATAATTATTTCAAACATTATTTTAAAGCATATAAAGCAAAAAGAGTTAACCATTTCACTTCCTTACACTGACATCTCACTCCAATTAGCTCTTGGAGATGTCATTAGTCTAGGGGTTCACATACTTTTTCCACCTGCACTGTGGATGTTTACATGGTGTGTTCAATAAAAACATGGCAACATTTCATTCTTTGTGTGTTATTAGTTTAAGCAGACTGATTGTCTATTGTTGTGACTTAGATGATGATCAGATCACATTTTATGACCAATTTGTGCAGAAATCCATATCATTCCAAAGGGCTCACATACTTTTTCTTGCAACTGTATTCAAATATCACTAATAAGTTCAGGCTGGGCATATGCTGGACTTTATCACCTCAATACTGTGCATGTAGAGAAAAAAAAAAAAATATTGAAAATGATCTACACATTGTGTTAGCAAATCCAAGCAAATTCTTAAATTATGATGTCACCTGTGGCTTGATATGAAAATTTACTGGTATTTATGTGCAAAATTAAAATAAGATTGTGAATACCGCCTTTTGCGTGATAGATCTTACGGAAAAAAACAGTTGATCTTACTTAATCTAACAAATATCTACCAAAATCAATAAAAAAAAATTCAAATTTCACTTGAGGGGGGGCAAACCCGTAGTCACGCCCACAAAGTTAAGTAGTAAATACCGCCTCTTGCGTGATAGATCTAACGAAAAAAACAGTTGATCAAACCTGATCTAACGAATATCTACCAAAATCAATGAAAAAATATTCAAATTTCACTTGAGAGGGGGCTAACCCGTAGTCACGCCCACAAAGTTAGGTAGTGAATACCGCCTCTTGCGTGATAGATCTAATGAAAAAAACAGTTGTTCAAACCTGTTCTAATGAATATCTACCAAAATCAATAAAAAAAAAAAATCTAATTTCACTTGAGGGGGGGCTAACCCGTAGTCACGCCCACAAAGTTAAGTAGTGAATACTGCCTCTTGCGTGATAGATCTAACGAAAAAAACAGTTGATCAAACCTGATCTAACGAATATCTACCAAAATCAATGAAAAAATATTTAAATTTCACTTGAGAGGGGGCTAACCTGTAGTCACGCCCACAAAGTTAGGTAGTGAATACCGCCTCTTGCGTGATAGATCTAACGAAAAAAACAGTTGATCAAACCTGACCTAATGAATATCTACCAAAATCAATAAAAAAAAATTCAAATTTCACTTGAGGGGGGGCTAACCCGTAGTCACGCCCACAAAGTTAAGTAGTGAATACTGCCTCTTGCATGATAGATCTAACGAAAAAAACAGTTGATCAAACCTGATCTAAGGAATATCTACCAAAATCAATAAAAAAAAATTCAAATTTCACTTGAGGGGGGGCTAACCCGTAGTCACGCCCACAAAGTTAGGTAGTGAATACCGCCTCTTGCGTGATAGATCTAACGAAAAAAACAGTTGATCAAGCCTGATCTAATGAATATCTACCAAAATCAATAAAAAAAAAAATCACATTTCACTTGAGGGGGGGCTAACCCGTAGTCACGCCCACAAAGTTAAGTAGTGAATACTGCCTCTTGCGTGATAGATCTAACGAAAAAAACAGTTGATCAAACCTGACCTAATGAATATCTACCAAAATCAATAAAAAAAAATTCAAATTTCACTTGAGGGGGGGCTAACCCGTAGTCACGCCCACAAAGTTAAGTAGTGAATACCGCCTCTTGCGTGAGAGATCTAACTAAAAAAATAGTTGATCAAACCTGATCTAACGAATAGCTACCAAAATCAATTTAAAAAAATTCAAATTTCACTTGAGGGGGGGCTAACCCGTGGTCACGCCCACAAAGTTAGGTAGTGAATACCGCCTCTTGCGTGATAGAGCTAACGAAAAAAATAGTTGATCAAACCTGATCTAACGAATAGCTACCAAAATCAATAAAAAAAAATTCAAATTTCACTTGAGGGGGGGGCTAACCCGTAGTCACGCCCACAAAGTTTAGTAGGGAATACCGCCTCTTGCGTGATAGATCTAACGAAAAAAATAGTTGATCAAACCTGATCTAACGAATAGCTACCAAAATCAGTAACATTTTGTCCAAATTTCAGTTGAGGGGGGGCCAGCCCCCCCTAATTATATATGCAATATCTCAGTAATTAGACTAGATCAAACAAAAATTTTGCCTGATCAAACCTGATCTAACGTAGAGCTATCATAATCAACAACATTTTCTCCAAATTTTTGGTGAGGGGGGGCTGGCTACGGGTTAGCCCCCCCTGACAATGATTGTTAATATCGCATATTTTAGAGTAGATCTAACGAAAAAAATTGTTGATCAAACCTGATCTAACAAAGATCTAACAAATGGAATAATCTTTTGTTAAAATTCTCAATATGGGGGGGCTATACATTGCAGTTTTAAGCAGTTGAATCCTGTATGAAATTGATTTTCTTAATGATATCACAGCTGTTTTCCTGGTAGTCCTCAGTGATGGTTACATTTTGATGCAAACCTCCAAACTGGTCTGAGTTGTGTACATTTTCATGGGTTCAATGTCTGTTCTGTTTATTGATCCAGATTAGAAGATTCCACTTATTCTATCTTTCTATCCTTTAGAGGTTTAAATTCACACCAATACCATACAGAATGTATACATTAATCAAATACTCTCATTAGCAATAACTTTTCATAGATGGATGATCCCACTAATACCACTACTCAGGGTGCGTTCTGCTCCACTTTTTTATATATTTATTTCATTTGCAAATGATGCACATAATGCTTTGTACATTTCTTAAACATACGTATACATACAGTTAAGTTATACAAGATGCTGTGGTGTTAGATGGTGGAGCCAGGTATCTGTGTTGTGGGCCAAAGCCAGGACCATGGTGATGTTGTGGTAGGTAAAAAAGGCTGAACATCTGTGTTGGTGGCAAATGTAAGTGCTATGGATCTGCCACGCTGACAATTGGCAGAGCTGTGGATCTGTGGTGTAGGCTGAAGATCTCTAGTCAATGATAAGGTGGTGTGTCTGTAGTGGCAGATGACATGGCTGTGAATCTGTGGGGGTCAATGGCAGAGTCGTGGGTTAGTAATGGTGGCCTATGGCAGAGCCATAGTTCTGGGATGGTGGTCCATGGCAGGGCCATGGTTCTGGGATGGTGGTCCATGGCAGGGCCATGGTTCTGGGATGGTGGCCCATGGCAGGGCCATGGTTCTGGGATGGTGGCCCATGGCAGGGCCATGGTTCTGGGATGGTGGCCCATGGCAGGGCCATGGTTCTGGGATGGTGGCCCATGGCAGGGCCATGGTTTTGGGATGGTGGCTCATGGCAGGGCAGTGGCTTTAGGATTATGCCCATGGCAGAGCCGTGGTTCTGGGATAGTGGCAGAGTGTATATCAAGTAGTGTGTGAGTGTTAAGCCTCGGTGGAAGCAAATTGGTAGCAATAGTCATAGTTAAGTGGCCGTGCCGGGATCGCTGGTGGGTGTTCAGGAATGGGGACATTTTCCAAATCCAATAGCCTCAGCTTGAGTTCTGCATTTAGCAATATATCCAAATCACTTCTTTTACGTTCACTGGTCATGTCCCGGCCTTGGAGGGCATTCAGTCCGTCGAGCCAGAG